CTGCTTTTCCTTTCTGCACTTCGGGAAATACATAGGAAATTACGTGCACCTTAGCGAGTGCACTGGGAATTGGGCTCGGCAGTTGGGAATTCCTAGATAAGCGGAACTTCGACGTGTCATTTCCGTATGTGTGAATGTTCTTGGTCGCGTCGGGAAAAACTCTCGGAATTTTGTACGAATATGAATAGGCGTAGATTTTTCTTTTCCCGCGTCGCCTTTTCACAGTGATTTCAATTTTGAACTAGGATAGAAGCAAGCTGTTACTGTTTCGGTTCCTTTTTCTCTCTTTTTGTTGACGGCGCCGCGCGTGCAAAACTTCCTCCTTTATGTCCTCCGAATCGCTCCCTCCCGCGCTCCTTTCCCCTTCTCCCGCCTCTTTCTCTCTCCTCGTAACTGTTTTCTTTCTCTCTCTCTCTTCCTCCCGCTCTGCTCTCTGCGCGCCCCTTTTTCCTTTCTTGATCATCTGAATCTTGGACCCGTCTTGCGTCACTTCTCGTGCCTTTCCCCCCTCACCCTCTGAGTCTGGCGCACGACGCATGATCGATCCATAGAAAACTCCCGCTCGCCAATCAGGTGCGTGGATGAATAGGACCTTTCTATTGCGCAACGAATCTGATTGGTTGAACCTTGAGTTTCGAGGGATCGACATGGAGTTGTAGAGCATTCTTCTCAAAGTCTTCTCCTCCTGCTTCTCCTCTTACACCTCAGCTTTCATGTCGCTTTCTCCCCCTTCTATCTCCCCTGTCGCAACTATAAAACCCGCAAGCGCGTCCGCAAATCTCTCTTACGTTCTCGACTCTCAAGCCAACTTCCGGGAAGCAGTGGCTAGGCAGAGTGTTTGGTGCGAGTCGGAAAGTTCTTGCGGGCTGACGATAGGCTGGCCAATTGCGCGCTGGATCGCCACGATGGACTGTGGGATCGGGGCGAACCGTGTCGAGTCTACGACAGCGGGGTGACGATCGCAGTGGTGGGAGTTAGTACACGACGACCGGGATCGCCGGTGCGGGTATGAGGATTGATGATTGGAGTTGAGTGAGTGATTGGCCCGGGGCCATACTGGAATTAACGGCGAATGCGCCTTTGTTGTTGCGGATATTTCTCTCTGACAACATTGAACTTCCTTCTTTTGGGTTGCGTCATCTCCTATCTCGACTCTCCCCCCCCTCACCTTCCCCTTCTCCTCTATCTTTGAATAATGATGTGTCTCGATGCTTCTCTCCTTCTCTATCTTTCCCTCCTCTGGATGAGTATGAATTTGTATGCTTTCCTTGCGTGAAAGAAACTTCTTCCGGAGCTCTTCCATTAGTTTCCGGGGTAATCCTTCCGCGCAAGGACCCCGTCTTCTTGTCTTGTGAACGGTGGATGCGTGTGTACTGTGCAAGCAATCCATCTTTTCCTGTGCATGGCTTATTTTTCGCATCTTCCATAGTGAATGCATATATGGAAATGCGCGTCTCTTTGGCATTGATTAGACAATTGCCGTCGGGATTTTTTCCGAGAATGCAAGAGTGTTTAGATCTGTAGCTTTGAGTGCACTGCGCATGCCATCTCCCTTATGCTGTCCGACATCAGCAGCCGAACCACGAGGCGTCCTCGAGAAACAAGGCGCTTGGGATCAATGTCGCGCTGGCTCACTAAACCTTAGCCGCGGATCGGTCCCTTAGTTATATGCATGATCAAGCTGCTGAAGTGTCTTCTTTCTCTCTCTCTGTCTCTCCCTCTCGTGTTGAAGGAAATTGTTTATGAGTTGCGCGAGTGTTTTCTTTTCTTGATGGCGTCGCAAGGTCTTTAGAATTGATTGATATGTGGACTAACCAGTACCCTCCGATCGGGCACCAGCCTCCCGTACCTCCCATCCCAACACGACCTTTTCCGTATAACGAGGGAGGGACACGTGTATGTGAGTGGGACGTACGAGAAGCCGTTGCACAAATCGGCGGACGATACTACTTCCCTCCGGCAAATCGTTGTTCAGGGTTCGTAGAGGCTGGGTTTGTCATTATGGATACGCACTTCCCACCTTACTCGATATTGTTGCCGTTCAACGAGTTGATCGTCATCCCGTGGACGGCAGTGGAACCCCACTGGCCGCGCACTCTATGCACCGAATGCCAGCGTTTTTAGCGCTACGAATCCAGGGGTTTCCACTACCGTGTGCGGAATGAAGACGAGCATAAAGAAAGAGCCACGCGGCTGAGACCATCCACGTCGGACTCGGAACTGACCATTGAACGACGATGAGATTTGATCCAAAAACGAGACACGCGGAGCGTGCCAAAGCCTTTCCGTTCTAAACGACGGGCTGTAGATCGGTGTGAAGCCCGACAATACTTTTTCGATTGAATTTGGATTTTTCTTTTTTCACACCGTGCCCGCTCGTGCATTCCGCGACGTGCGAAAGCAATCGACTTGCTTCATTGGACCAACACGGGGGATTTCAGTTCCATCTGTGTCCCCACACTCAATTTCCAAAAATCCTTGGCACACCCCATCTTGCTGTTTTTCTGACTTTTTTCGCACGCCTAACACTCCGAACGAAAGATAGCACAGGGCGTGAGGTTGGTATCGGAGCCGACACGTGTCGGTTCTGAAAATAGTAAGTCGAACTGGCGAGAGGTAGGAGAGGCCCTCAACTAGCTCGTCGGGATCGCCCAGTGACCCGGTCTCAGTTTGGTGCGGCTGTACCCGCGGCACCAATGGTGGACGGTACTAGGGTGATCGTTAGCATCCCCGCCCCCTTCCCTTTCTTCCCTAATCATACCCATCCCGAGGCGTGGCTGGAAGCTATAGAAGCTCAAAACTACAGCGCAACCGATCTTCCTCGCGTTCTGACATTGCTACTTCGCAATACGTCGCATGACTGGTTTAGAAAACATACATGGGTAGATTGGGATACTTTCAAGCAAGCCTTCTTGGCTCGATTCGATACGGTCAATGAAGATGCCGCTTGGTACGTGCTAAAAAATCGGTCACAAGGACCAGGGGAATTGTTGCCCGATTTCGTCGATCGATTTCAAACCACGCTGGACAAATCCGGGCAAGACGAGAAATCCGCTCGAGATTTGTTCATCGACAATCTACGAAGTCCGACATTGAAAGGCAAACTGCAGAAAAAGGTCCCGCCGAAAACACACCAGTTATCGGCTATCATCGCTAAAGCATTGGAACTGGACCTGGCTGATACGAAAAAGTATATCAGCCAGGGAGACGAAGACATTACAGATACCATACGGGATGTAACGGCCAAAAGGCGATCATGGTTGCAGGCGGTCGAACGGTTTTATCCCCCCCCCGGCAATGACCTTCCCGGCGGGATCGTTTTCGATATCCCGCCTGCTTCTTCTTCCTCTCCCCCGGTGAATCAATCGATCGCAGCCGTTAAAAGCGGAATCTCACCCGAACCCCCCTCGCCGGCCATAACCAACTTACACCTTGCCTAGATGATCCTTACGACCACTACCAAGCAGTCCGAATGGATGAGCAACTTGATCCAAATGCAGGCCGCTCACATGGAACGGATGGAACAAATAATGAGTAGGCTAATCAAGCCTAACCCGGCCTCAGCTCGGCCGGCCCCCGCATCATTTCCGCTCCTACCTGCCCCGCCTGCTCCAGGGTACGCAACTCAGTTCCCTCACCTAGCCAATCCAGCAGGAAAAATCGAGTGTTTTAACTGCAAACAGCTGGGACATTTCGCCCGAGACTGCTCGCAACCAAAACGTAGTCAGCCCCCACCTTCGGCGGCCCCTGTGGCCCTGAATCAAGGACGAGTGGCCACTTTGATGGATACAGCCCAGGGAGGAGAGCTCGTGGCATATGCCCCAGAGCATCCTTCCTCCTCGACGACAATGTCGTCGACATCAGGAACTTCTCCCTCTGACGCTGCGGACGTGGTCGATCCACTCGAATATCTTCATCTTGCAGGCATGGTCGGAGCAATCCGATCGGCCCCTGATGATCTCGAATGGGTCGATCGCAATTCCAATCCTGGTCCGCAGTTCCGAACAGGAGAGATTGACGTGCTACAAGCACTCAAACAATTGGATATTCGTGTTCTGATCCCGGTGGGACATTTGCTCACCATATCTGAAGCGGCGAATGATAAGCTTTTACAACATTGCCAGAAAAATCAAAAGCGCTTCACCTGTCAGCGCATACAACGGATGTTAAAGAAAAAGGAAGGAAACGAGGAAGTGGCACAATCCAAACCCGAAGCCGGCGAACCTGAGGTCGTGCGAATAGTAGCGATCTCTTTAGTAGAGAAAGATTACTTCGGATAAGCTCGGCCGGTGATATGGAAAAGCGTCGAGTGTGACTGCGAGATTTGGGGCAAGCCGTTTAACGCCCTTATCGACACAGGGTCTTCTGCAGTACCCATATCATTAGACACTGTCAGAAAGATGGGACGACTCGGATCCATTCTTCCTCAATCTGGCAAAGACAATTATGTCTCCGCCGATGAGGAAGCAATGAATATAGTTGGCATTATTGAAAACGTGGCTGTAAAGGTTGGACGAGTACACGTCCTCGTCAACGCGCTCATGATAGATGTGCGCTCCTATTCTGTACTATTAGGATTGCCTTGGGTGATGGAGGTGGGCACACGATTATCACGGGAGACCATCCACCCATTAGCTGCGTTCCTTACCGATACTCGCTAGCTCAAAGAGCGGCCGCTTTTCAGCGGATAAGAGAATTCGAAGCTAATGGATGGATCGAACCCGCCATAGGTCCCTGGTTTTTTCCCATAGTAATCGTGCCAAAAAAGGCCGGAGGGATTCGCATTTGCATTGATTATCGAAAGTCGAATGATGTCACGATCAAAGATGTGTACCCCCTCCCCCGGATTGATGAGTTGTTGGATGTGATTGGGAGTGCTCGATTTTTCAGCAAGTTTGATGTTCGCCATGGGTTCCATCATCTTCTTGTTCGAAAGGAAGATCGTTCAAAAACAATGTTTGTACTTTTCGAGGGCACGTGGCAGTGGATTCGATGTCCAATGGGTATCTGCAACGCCCCCACGACCTTTCAGCGGGCCATGAACATGACTTTTCAGAATTTCGTGAGAAAGACTCATTTGGCACAGAGCATCATCAACTACTGCGTGATTGTGTACATGGATGATATCTCGGTGTACTCGAGTTCCTATGAGGAACATGTGCAGCACATCGAATGGGCACTGCACGCGTTACGAGATGCGGGCTTCAAGGTGGCGCTTGAGAAGTGTCAATTTTTTCTCACCACCATTTCCTTCCTAGGGCACGTGGTGACAGACAAGGGACTCCAGCCGGAGCCACAGAAGGTGGAAGCTGTCAGGGATGCGCCGTTGCCTACAACTATCACGCAAGTTCGCACCTTTTTGGGCCTGGCCTCATACTACCAAAGATTTATCAAGGGCTTCGCAGCAATTGCGGGACCCCTCACGAATCTGCTGCGCAAAGATCAGCCATTGATCTGGACACCAGAATGCGATCAAGCGTTTTTCAAACTCGAGGCCGCTCTCATTTTGACTCCGGTCCTTATAAGACCGGATCCTGAAAAGCCTTTTGTTCTCATCACTAACTGGCAGCCAGAGGCAATTTCGACGATCCTTGCCCAGGTGGTACCAAGCGGACTCGAGAGTGTGGTGGAGTATGCCTCCAAATCGGTGCCAACTTGCAAGCGCAACTACACCACTCCAACGGGGGAATGCTACGCGGCTCTCTGGGAATCAGCCACTTTCACGCTTACCTGTACGGGCGAAAGTTCACCTTGGTAACTGATCATGAGCCCCTGTTGGCTCTGAAGAAACCCGAAAAGCCGCAGAAATAGCCACGTACATCGAACGGTTTCTCTATACCCATCTAGATACAGAAGAAATTCTAACCGACAATGGGTCTGAATTCAAGGGTGAGGTAGAAGAACTGCTTGCGCGAAGGGGCGTCACGGTCCGACATACAGCACCCCACGTGTCCCAGTCAAACGGGTTGGCCGAAAATGCCAACCGTATGATTAAAACCGCCCTTCGCAGGAACTTAGCGGCACATGACACACGTCCTTGGCCCGAGATCGTATATCAGATCGTCGGGATCCACCGGGCCACCCCTCACGAGTCCACGGGGTGTACCCCTTTTCAGCTTCGAACTAATAGCCTCCCCTGTGTCGACTACCGGGGTAACTCGGAAATTGCCGAAGCAGGGGGTAGAGACACGCGTGCAGCTCTCAAGGCCAAGGCCAAAAGGTACACCGAATTAATGGAACGGGTAGTCCCGAAGCTCACCCGAAAAAGGCAAAGGATGACCAAACTGGCCCACGGTGGACAGGTCCGTAGCTACGAGGCTCGGAATGGAAATGTTGGGCCCCAACATCAATATAAATTAGGGGACCTAGTGCAGGTACGTAAATGTTCACGCGACCGGAAACTCGCTCCCAAGTTTTCTGGCAGTTTTCACGTTGTCAAACTCGGACCCAACGGCGCCAACACGGTACGCATCGCACCTGAGGCTAGTGCCATCCAACGCTTTGTCCCCATCGTCCGACATACCTCCTACCTCCGTCTCCGTCCTCCTTCCGATCTTCCTCCCTCTTCTTCCTCGGAAAGCGAGGAGAACGACGACGATCTAACCCTCTCTCCGCTCTCTCTCTCTTGTCCTTCGACATCCTCCCCCACCTCGCCATGAGTTTTATTACAGAGCGGGTTCTTGACGCACAGCTGTTGCAGCCACGTGGCCACATCTCAGAGATTCGGCAAGTTTGTCACCCTCGGCTCAATGCGGATCTTCGGCGTTTGATGCGATTCTTCTGCGACGAAGGTATCTGTGCTGCCGCCGCGTTTCGAATCGAAGGAAGTCCGTGAGCAGTAGTATTCGCGGAGGTAACCGCAGTTCAACGGCGAGCGGGTCCCAGAACAAGCCACGTCACCACGGTTGCAGCGTTCAGCGGCGACATTAGCTCGGTCAATCCGCAGTGGCATACCGCGATCTTGACCTCGCTGCGCGAGTGGACGGAACAAGTGTCCAACGTGTGGCAGCACGTCCTCGCCCGACAAGGGTATAACCTCATCCCGATCTTTGCACCGGATCTTGGCGATATTCGTCGATCACCGCGGGAGCGGCCAGTTGCGATCCCAACCCTCGTTACCTTCCCACATCCCCAATGAACCACCCCGATCTTCTCGCTCCTCTCTCTATCTTTGGTCTCCCCTCTCTCTTCCCCACCTTCTGGCAATCCAATCTCCATCCTTCTTTTTCCTTTTCGTTCGAGCCTCTTTCAGTCCCTCTTATCAATCCTGGACATTGGCGGTTGTGGCGCGAAACTTTTGAGGAGATGTCTTTCTGCTTGGCCATAGTACAGGCAACGTGGACACAGACTAGCGGGCATCCTGCGTGGATCGAAAATCCGAAGCTGCTAATCATCCAAGCTTGGAGGACTAACGTGGAGGGCGATCTTCTTGGCTTTCTCTTTGGATCGGTACAGCCAGGGCGCCGCCAGTTGATTGCTCAAGAGCTCATCGCACCGATCGTGCAATTGGCGGACGATCTCTTGCCCGACATCTACTTACAGACTGACGACAGTCCTGCTCCGTACATTTTCGAGCGATCATTGGATCCGTACCTTCAGTGGACTGCGTGCTTGGAGGAACCCAAGGACGAGGATACGCTACCATCGCGGCAGGAGTATCTCAAGCCGTACGATATCATCCCTCACGCCTTCTATCCCAGGGCAGAGGAAGTGGTGATCGACGACGACGAAGAAGACGAGGAAACATCGGAGGAGGGAAGCTATAGTGAACATAGCGAGGGCGAGCTAAGCGAAGGAGAAGAGAAGGAAGAAGAAACCGGATCTAAGTGGGAAGCCTTGCCGGAGGAAGCGACGCGTATGGGAACGGAGGTGGAAGATCCGGAAGCGGCGCGAAAGCGCGAAGAAATTGCCACCGGGAAGCGCCAGCTGGAGTTCGCAAGCGAAGCTAGCCTGCGCATCGGTAACGATCCGACTAGGGATCCAGAGCCGCCGAAGCCCGAAGATGGCGACCCTGCAGCCGCCACCTCAAGTACCGCGCGATGGAGACGGAGCCGATCCCCCTCCTCCTCCAACCCCACCCATCCCCCAGTTCGCCCACGTACCGATGCGGGCGATAGGCCTTCGTCCTCGGACGCTGTCCCGCCGACCCCTTGATTTCCTCACCCTCGAGCAGATCCGTAACCCCGTCACCTTCCCTTCCCATCCCTTCCTTCCCCATCTCTTCCGCGACTTCTATTATACCCGCCTACTCGCCACCGTCCACCCCCACGCCTCCCTCCAATCCGCTGCCCCCACGTTCTGCTGGCATCTCCTGCTGTTCAGCGCTGCATGGGAGCGATGAAAAATGTGGTAGAGGTTTACTCCGTTGCCACGGGGACAATCCTCACCTGCCGCCACTACGAGTTCTTTCGAGCGGCGCTTTTCCTCACCCTCTCTTCCTTCTATCGCGACTACCTTGCTTCCCTCCCTCGTAGCGGCGATCACTTCCCCCACTTCCACCGGATCATCCGATATGAGGAGCTTCCGGTGTTGATGGAAGGAATGAATCGCTTCCTACCCCCACTCCCTCCCCGTCGACCCCGTGAAATCCCCTCCATGTACCGCCTCTATTGACCTATTCCAACTAGGAGGTAGACCCCGATTACATCACTACCNCCCCCCCCCCCCTCTCTCTCCCTCTCCTCTCTTCATCCAATCAGCGGGGGAAAACGGCACGAATCAGTAAGCTTCACAAAGATCACGCCATCGACGACGAGGTCAACTCACGCTCTGATCCGGCGGGCAGCAACCAGCTGGGGTGCACAGCGCACGGAGAACCAGCGGACGATGATGGCGTCACCTGGACGACCATCGAGGATTCCAGCAACAGACAATTGCAATTGAAGTTGGCGTCAATATGAACTCTGGCTGGATTGTTTGTTGATACGCCTGGTTCCTCATGCATCACTTTGTTCCGCCATGACATGCAATCAGGAGATCGCATAATTTTGGAACCCCCTGCGCGTCACATATGTGACGAACGACTTCCCGAACCCGTGCTATCTTTCGTACCCCTTTTTGCTTGTATCATACCAACCCCATAAAAACCCAGTTTCGTTTTCTTGATTTTGGGTGCCGCGTTTTTTTTGCTCCCATCTTTCGGAAAGCTTTTTCGACTCCCGGGTTCTGCTTTTCCTTTCTTCACTTCGGGAAATACATAGGAAATTACGTGCGCCTTAGCGAGCGCACTGGGAATTGGGCTCGGTAGTTGGGAATTCCGGGATAAGCGGAACTTCGACGTGGCCTTTCCGTATGTGTGAATGTTCTTGGTCACGTCGGGGAAAAACTCTCGAAATTTTGTACGGATAGGAATAGGCATAGATTTTTCTTTTTCTGCATCGCCTTTTCGCGCGTGGATATGGTGATTTCAATTTTGAATTAGGATAGAAGCAAGCCGTAACTGTTTCGGTGCCTTTTTCTCTCTTTTTGTTGACGGCGCCGCGCGTGCAAAACTTCCTCCTCTCTGTCCCCGGCATCGCTCCCTCCCGCGCTCCTTTCCCCTTCTCCCTCCTCTTTCTCTCTTCCCATAACTGTTTTCTTTCTCTCTCTCTCTCTTCCTCCCGCCCTGCTCTCTGCGCGCCCTTTTTTCCTTTCTTGATCATTTGAATCTTGGACCCGTTTTGCGTCACTTCTCGCGCCTTTTCTCCCCTCACCCTCTGAGTCTGGCACGACGCCCGATCGATCCATCGATAACTCCCGCTCGCCAATCAGGTGCATGGATTAATAGGACCTTCCTATTGTGCGACGAATCTGATTGGTTGAACCTTGAGTTTCGAGGGATCAACATGGAGTTCGTAGAGCATTCTTCTCAAAGTCTTCTTCTCTTGCTTCTCCTCTTACACCTCAGCTTTCCTGTCGCTTTCTCCCCCTTCTATCTCCCCTGTCGCAACTATAAAACCCGCAAGCGCGTCCGCAAATCTCTCTTACGTTCTTGACTCTCAAGCCAGCTTCCGGGAAGCAGTGGCTAGGCAGAGTGTTTGGCGCGAGTCGGAAAATCATGTCGGGCTAACAACAATAGGTTGGCCGGTAGCGCGCTGGATCGCCACGACGGACTGTGGGATCTGGGCGAACCGTGTCGAGTCTACGGCTATGAATCCCCCTCCGCGGCGGACAGGCGCGGCCAAGTCCACGGCCTCGGTCGAGTCCGCGACCCCACGGATGCGTCCGCGCGAACGTGCGTCTTCGCGGACGCGTGGCGGCCGCTGGGGAAGGGGGTTTGGGAAACGGGAAGCGCCACGTGGCGGCGCAACCCCAGCGCCACCCCATCAGGCAAAAAAAAATGAAAAAAATCTAATTTTTGGTTGGGGGGGTAAGGGCGAAATCAAAGAAAATAGTGGGCAAAAACGCGTTTTTTTTTTGTTTTTTTTTTTTGTTTTTTTTTTCTTTCGTTAATTGATTGATTGATTGATTGATTGGTTGGGGCGGGGTCGCCCCGCGCCCCTTTGATTGATTGATTGATTGATTGATTCGATTTTGCTTTTTTTTTTT